AAAGGAGCGGATAGAAGGAATCAGTTTTTATCGGGGGCGGGCGGGGGGCTGGTTAAAACTTTCTGGGGATCGCATGACCGGCCGATGTCGGTGTAAATGCAAGTATGATTTGTGTAACACATAAAAAAAAGGATAAGCTTGGCTTTGGAAGCCGATCGGGGTAACCTAAGTATTTTTGGAGGAAGTAGAGGAAAAAAACAGCAGGACTGAGACGGTACGGTGTGTTGAAACTAGAAAGAGCGATTTTGGTGCACTTCTTTACAGCATTGTCAGAAAACCACTTACCTGTTGTGAGTGATTTCTGGAGGAGTCAGTGTAGCTCTCCTGTAGTTTGGTAGTGGCATCCTTGTGTGCAAGAGAGTAATTTCTTTCCTGATACAGGTGGTCTGTTTATGAATATATGTGCTTGACTAATGTTCACCTGCCTGTTTCTCAGGTGGGTCTTTGTGATTCAAGCTACCCCATGTACTTAATTGGAAGGCCCTTTGTTATCCCTGGGCCCTGAATCTGAGGGTCGGTTCCCTCGGGTTGAACAGAGAGCAGAAGCCCCAGTAGCGTTTAATAGATTTTTGGCAGTAAAGGAAGGAATAAGACTTGCACAAGTTTCCTTTAAGCTGAGGCCAGATGTACCTTTTGCAGACACTAGAACGATTGAGAACTAGGCCTTTTAGCTGCATGTGAATTGTCTTTTTACTTTTTTAGTATTCTTCCCCAACACATGGATGATAGCCTTTCCCTTTCTTGCATAAGAGTTGACAAGATTCAACTCCAAATCTGTGCAAAATGAAACTTGTAAGAAAAGCAATTATTCAGAGGGAGTGACCTATGTAGAAAGTCTACCACTGCGATAAAACAAGAGCTGTCCAAGGCAGAGTTCAGGATGTCGATATTAAAGTAGCTGGAACATATTTTGGTTTAGCTGCACTAATACACTCTGTGGGGGGGAGAAAGAGACTGCATCTTAAGAGTGCAATTGTCCAGTTCATGGAGCCTTTGAAGGCAAAGACAAATGCTAGGAATTTGGTCTTAATTGTATTGTGTTGTTTAAATATATGTAGATATCAAACATTTAAGTTATGAAACAAAGGACTAGAAATTACAAAGTACAATATCTGTCGCTGTGCTAAGAAGTGAATTTTCCATGTTGCACTGTGTGTGTGCCACAACCCCATCCTGATGGCATAAAGAAGCTAAAGCTGCTCCCAGGCAAATTTCTGTCATCTCTCAACCACTGAATTTAGAATTTCTCTTGATCATTCTGTTAAGTGTAGTCAGTTATAACAGGGTATGCTACAGAAAACCACTGTCAGTCTGTACATATTACAGCAATCATGCTTGGTCAGTAAGCTGTTGTGATGAGAAGGAATCCATCCAGTTACCTTTCTTTCATCTGTTATTGAAAGGGTTTAGTAATTTTTTAAGGCCTTCTCTGCAAGACTAGACTGTAATGGCTACAAGAAGCACACAGACTTTGCTTGGCCCCTGTGTATCGTGCTGCACTTCATCAGTTCAGAGAGCACAGCTTGATCTCTGGAAAAAAAAAGGCTTAGCCTACAAAGGATATGGTTTCATTCCATTTAAAGAAAAAAAGCAAAGGAAACCTAGCACATTTATTTCTTTCCCCTCATGTGGCCTTGAGCATAAAGGGATGCTAGTTCTAGCAAATCAGGGTTACCTATAAACACCAGAAGCCAATTTTACTTCAACATAGTCTAATTTCTAAAGTGCTGCTAGCTTCTAGTGCCAAATCTAGGTTGCCTCTAAACAGAGTAATGACAACTTAAACTGCTTTAGGCTATAGTTAGATAAAAAGGCTTGAGCGCTTTTAAAAGCTTAGTTTGTTACCTTGGAAACTGTGAAAATAGAAAATACAGCCATGTTATTAATGTTTTCATTTGGAGTGAGGCATTTAAGTGCCTCATTGACTGATCTAAGTTTTGTTTGTTAGCTTTTCTTCTGTACTGGGCTTCACCAGTATTTAGGCCTTTGAGGTGCTTCAGAGAATATCTCGTGTGGGAAAGTGGGCTGGGAAGTACTGTATTAGCCTTTCATGAAAGTACAAACTCATAGTGGAGATACTTCTAATACTGATGAAGGTAGGAGTAGATTCAGTAACTAAGCAGGAAGAAGTGCACAACACAGGAGTTAAGGGAGGTCCAAAGTCCCATCTATTGTATGTGACTATTCTTGGAGGTCTTGGATGCCTGGTTTAAATTTTGCAGATTGTTCTCAGGGCTAAATTTTTTTTTAAAGCTATTTGCCCAAATCCTAAAAGAGCTCAAGTATTACTCTATTCCGAATCCTTTCAAAGCAGTAGGAATGACCCCAGGTTCTTTACAAAGAGTTGGCAGTACTTGATAATCAATACTGCTTGTTGTGAATAACAGAGTACTGTTGAAAGAATGTAACTTAATGATGAGGAATATTTTAGAGGCAGTTTTTACTGTTTCCTATGTAGTCTGTAATGAACTTCAAGGGAGTGTTGTGTCATTCCCTCAAACAGAGCAGGGGAACCCACCCTTGTGGGTATCATTAGCCTTGACAAGATGCAAAGGTGTATTACCTTTCAGCAGGTGGTTCTGTTTCTGACAGTGCTGCTGAGGTGTTGTACCACTGTGAGAACCTTGCTGTATGTGCTTTTCTGTAGAACCTTCTGAATCTAAACAGCTCTTATCTCTTGGAAATTTCAGGAAGATGTTTGTTGGCGGCCTCAGTTGGGATACAAGCAAAAAAGACTTGAAAGATTACTTCACCAAATTTGGTGAGGTAACTGACTGTACGATAAAGATGGACCCCAACACAGGAAGATCCAGAGGCTTTGGATTTATTCTCTTCAAAGAGCCTGGGAGTGTTGAAAAGGTGAATTTAAGCTTCGTATTTCGGATTCTTAACTTCCAAGGAAAAATAGTCAGTTTGAGTTAATCATACCAAACTATCTTTCAGGTTCTGGAACAGAAAGAACACAGGCTAGATGGACGACTAATTGACCCCAAGAAGGCCATGGCAATGAAAAAGGATCCAGTGAAGAAAATATTTGTTGGTGGACTAAACCCAGAAGCCACAGAAGAGAAAATCAGGGAATACTTTGGAGAGTTTGGAGAGGTGTGTAGTGTTACCTTGGTAAACACTGAAATGTGCAGTCTCTGGTAGTTGTTCAGTTTACTGATAATTTGCAAGTTGCAAATTAACTTCAGATGTATTGAGCCTTCTGTAGCTGATCCAGAGGTTTCCCATTCTGAGAGCAAGACAGGCACAGAGTGTAATAGGCTCCCATCGCTAGTTTAACTCAAGCCATTTTATCTGATGTTTAAATTGTTTTTAAGACTTGTGAAATTAAAACCTGTCGTTTGAAAGCCAATGCTTGTATAGAAAGAATATTGCAACTTCGGTGTTGCATAATATGCATAGGTGAGAAAGAGAACAGTTTTACTGTCCCAAATGCCACCTACTTTAACTGGTCTGCTAAAATACAAGACTGAAAAGAGAATTTATTTTTTTCAGATTGAAGCAATTGAACTTCCAATGGATCCAAAGACCAACAAAAGGAGGGGGTTTGTGTTCATCACTTTCAAGGAAGAGGATCCAGTGAAGAAGGTTTTGGAGAAGAAATTCCACAACGTCAGTGGAAGCAAGGTAGAAACTTTTGACTTGTACATTTTTGCCCACGTCATTAAGCATAATACCACTACATTTATAATCTGAAAAGGATTCTGTAGACCTCTTATCTCAAGGTACCAAAATTACTATAAGGACAGCTTGCAGTTCACCACAGGAGTGTTTTGCCCTAAGTTCACCACAGAAGCTACCCAGGGTTCTTTGCCAGTACTTGTGGCTTTAATACTGGCTATATTCTATGGCTTTTTTGCATGTAAAGTATTTAATAACATTCATTAAATAGATGTGGAAAAAAAATGGCTTATTTATGTATCAGTTTAGCAATAGAAGCCGTTTCAACAGATATATAACTATCTTCAGCATAGAGCACTTACATAAATTCAAGGCTTACAGATGCTAATTTTTGTAAGCACCTGAAACTGGTACAGGGGCAGCTTCTGGTGTCTTCTCTCAGAAGCCCCCTCCCTGCAGCCACCTCTGCTACCAAAATCCTGTCATGTAAACCCAGTACAAGGATGCAGGGAGTAAACTTGGGCTTCTGGCAGCTTGAACCTGGTCATCTGGTTATGTGAGCTACTCTAAAAGTGGTGTGAGAACAGCTAATAGCTGCTCATGTTGTCAAGCTAATGAGGACGGGAGGCAAAGGAAGTGTGCTGGCTGGAGGTGTCCCTCTTCTCTTGCTCCATGGCCAATGCTAACCATACACTTCAGAGCCCTGTTAGATCTGGTCACAGTGGCTGACATAGTAGATTGTGCTTAAAGACAGGTCTTTAACACAGCACAGAGTAAACTTTGGCAAACCGAATACACTGACTGCTAACTACAGTGTCCTGAAAACTAGTGTTGTTTTCAGGAGAGATGAATGCTTTTGCAGCCAAAGGAGATGAGATATGATGTCTGTATCTTGTAACTATGGCTTGGTTTTGTGTAATAGTAGTAAAAAAGGCAGAAGGTTACCTGAAAGCTCCTGTGGTGAAGAATTCCAAGCCAAGCTTGCACATGTGCTGTTGTCACAGGGAGTCAATCCTTTCACAGCAGCAGTGGCTTCATCCCTTGACTGCAGAGATTGAGGAACTAGGAAGCTGGCTGACAGCTTGAACTGCAGCTTGGGAACCTGGCTTAGAAATGTCAACTCTGGTCATTTTTAGCTGTTCTTAATATTTGATAAGTGATAACTTCCAAGTGTTGGCAGGTGTACTGTACAGTCCCAACGCACGCTCGGTGTGTACAGTTTACCAAGGCTGCCAGGAAGTCTCAGTTCTGGTGTGTTTCTTGGAGCCTTGATGACGCAGTGCAGCTCCAGTGAAGCGGTTGGTCTGGGAGGTTGTGGCGGGATAGGGGCCAGCCTCTAGGCTCCTACAGGAGCTATGGCGGTGCTGAGGTGGCCTCAGCAGGAGAGTGGGAGCTGATGGTACTAAAACACTTTGAAAGCAGTGGCCTGCTTTGAATGGCTGGCAGTGACTTACCCTGGCCCAGGTAGCACAATAAATGGGATGCATCTGGCACTGCATTAGTCCTGCTCACATGACAGGGAACGCAGCGCGTACACCTCCTTTGCCTCTGGAGTAGCCTCTGGCTTTCCTAGGTGGTTACATCGAGAGCTGTTGCTATAAGACAGTATACACACTCTTCCTTTTTTTTTATTTTCAGTGCGAGATTAAGGTAGCACAGCCAAAAGAAGTATACCAGCAGCAACAGTTCAGTAGTGGTGGAGGAAGAGGTAGCTATGGAGGAAGAGGCAGAGGTGGAAGAGGCGGTGGTAAGTACTACACGCACTACTTTAGTATGGACACATTCTAAATAAGTTGTGTGTACTAAAATGGGATTTTGTGGATGGTTTTCCCTTCTATAGCTCAAAGTCAAAATTGGAATCAAGGTTATGGCAATTACTGGAACCAGGGTTATGGGAATCAAGGATACGGCTATCAGCAAGGTTATGGTGGCTATGGAGGCTATGATTATTCAGGATATGGGTATTATGGATATGGACCAGGCTATGATTACAGTAAGTAAAGAGAACTGTATTGGGTATAAGCAAGCGTAACTAATTAGCAGTTTAATGCATTTGTTTTCTTGTTCATAGGTCAAGGCAGTGCAAATTATGGGAAGACACCAAGACGTGGTGGTCATCAGAATAACTACAAGCCATATTGATCAAACTTATTCAGGTATGCAGTGGCATGGTCTCTTTTGGAAAATGACTGCATAGGTTTTGTATACAATGCTGTAGATGGATATTTCAGTTCTGTACCAAATTTAACTTTACAATAAATTTCTATGGCCTGTTAAATGTGCATCTTACTTGGAAGAGCTCCCTGGAAATGTTTTACTTGTTTAATACTTCCAGATAACTAGTTGTCTAGACAGTGTGGTGTGTAAATTTCAGCCTCGCTGAAGATATTAATTAATGATTTTATTAATAGGTTAAACTGAAACTGATTTTGAGGGTCTGCTTAAAGCTGCAGCTCTGCATCTAGGGACTGCCTCTTGGAGTTAACTATGGACTCTGCATTACTCCAGTTGTACAGAATGAGATGCATCTTAGGGAACCAGTGTCACTTTCCACCTTTTTATTTTGTATTGTTTTTGTGTCATACATTTCCTGTAATGGAAGTGTTAATTTTACTGTACTTTTTGGTACCTTTTTGGAATCTAATGTATTGTAAGGTATTTTACATGTGTTCTGATTCACCATGACATGGATATTGAAGCTATCCTAGCTTTTGAAATAAAAAAGGCGTAATCTAGTGTCTCGTGCCATTCTTCAGCTTATGTATTAGTAAAATGCCAGTATACTGTTCCCAGAACTTAGTTCATGGCAGTACCTTGATAGATGGAGAGTTGTGCTTAAATGTTTTTAAATCTTAAAACTAGAAGGCTCTGTTGGTAGTTGTGCACACTTGCAGTTAAGTGGCAGCTAAAAACTGCAGTCACTTCTGCCTGAAGGTTGTGGAGGAGAACTTGGGTGGAAAGGCCCGGCTGTTGTGGAGGTTGTGTTGGTGAACTGGTGTCCTAGAGAAGCACAGAGGCTCAGCATAACTGTATTATTAGTGTCTGCCTTGTAGGGCTCTGCGAGGAGGAGCCAGAGGCACAGGTTTCAGGTAGGGCTTGGGAGTGTAGACAGCGTTGCAGGAGAAAGCCAAGAGGTGTGTGAGAACCTGGCAGCACTTCCTTCATGTTCTGTTGTCTTGAGTCTGAGACTTTTCTGCAAGTTCCTAATAATAGGTATACCTGCCCTGAAAGACAGGTTAGACAGACTTAATTAACCAATGTGAAGTACGATTTTTTTAAAATTTTTTTTGCTAGCCTTTTTGTGTATTGGAAAAGGCTGAAAGAACTTCTGCTGAAGTTAGTGGGAAAAACATCTCTTCAGAGATAAGTGACCAGCTAGAAACATGCTCTCCTTTTTTGACTAGTTTACCACTATTTTAAGATGGTAACTATGTGATGTTGCCTGTCTTGCTGCAGAATAGTCCCAATCTCAGATTTATAAATAAGTAGCAAGTGTTGCTGCACAAAGTAAACTTCTAATCTCCGCTGCAGTAATCAATTTGATAATTATTTTCCTTATAAATCTAAAATTGACCATTTTTTTTTCTTTTAATAAGTTCTATTTGAACAAAAGGGGAGTGGAATTGAACCAAGTAACCAAGACAAGACATAAACACATGTTACTAGTGACTTTTTTTAAACAAGCAATGCAGCTATTCCTGCAGGGACTATAAAATGCTGCTCCCTGCTGGCTGTCTTTGGAAAGAAGAGCTTGCTGTAAAGTTAAAAGTCTGTAAGACTTCTCTGGGGTTAAGTGAAAATCTTGAATAATAAAAAAAAAAATCGAATTTTAAACCTGATAGTTGACATGACAACTTTGCAGCTGGAGTATGCTACCTAATGCCCAGCTTACTTGCAAATAAAAAAAAAATAATTGCAGAACACAGGAACAACAGAGTACAGTATTTAAAAGTATTACTGTCTCAAGATTTAAAATTGAAATACTTTAACTCTGTTGCACACTTCTCCTTGTTTTCTGATCAAATAAGGGGTAGCTAAGTATTTTTTTTTTTTTTTTTTTTAGTGAACGGTTTGCCTTGCAACAGGGCATTTCCCTAGTGCCAGGACCATACTGCTGCAGTACTTCTGGCTAGTGTTATTAGCAGTGGTTTGTCAGCTGGCTGTTACTTTGGTGTTCTTTGGAAGTAGGTTCTTGGGTAATGCTTCCTTGACAGGTGACGTGGCCTTAAGCAGAAACAGAGGATACTGGTACTTAAATGCAGAGCTGGCTTTCCCTTCTTGCATGAAAAGTTTGTGATATGAAGAACATGTAATTGCCTGGTGAAAGCAAGGGCTTGTATACAAGGTTGTTACTTATGGCTGTAATGTACTCTTAATTTACTAATCCTGCTTGAGTGTTTTGTGAGGGCAGACTACTTCATAAGAACTGGTTTGGGAGCCATGGCCCTCAGCTGTCTGTTGCTCATGTAATTTGATGTTCTGAATTTGAGCCTGATGTTTTTGATGTAATCTGGTCACTGAGACTGAATATAGTGCCCTAGGAACCTTGTTAGTAACCTGGCTACTGAAACTGGTCAGAGCAGCCTGGGAAGGACTGGGTGTACTGGCAGCTGAATAGCGTTTGCATTGGTAGCAGCAGATTTAAAAAAGAAAACAAACAACCCATTGCCTCATCTTAATTTGCAAAAGTCATAACCTGAAAGAGCATAAATTTAGAAAACATAGTTTATAGTAGTTACTAGAAATACATTCCTTTATAATCATTTTTAGATACACTGTTATAAATAAAAGCCAATTCCACACTTCTGCCAGAGTTGAAACAAGCTCTTGTAAAATTTATTTCTTCTAAAGATTTTACTAATAACAAGATAAATGAAAATAACAAGGGCAAAGGTAACTTATTTGGTCTAAAACATGCTAGGATGAAGATTAAATGTGCATTATTATAGTAGAATAATGTTTCTTAGTAGTAGATCTTGAACATTGTTTGAAACCTATGGAAAGAAAATAATGTTATGTTTTTTTTGTAAAAGCATCATTAAAAGGAATCTGCTTCATTGCCTCATTTTCACTTACATTATATGTAAGTGTCATATTAGTACTGTATTAAGTAGGAGGCTTTTTGCATTCTTGTTTTCCTGTAGAAAATAAAGGCATTTTTCTTGTTTAGTTTAGATTGTAGACTAGCATATGAATCATTAGATTCCTTAATTTAAACTGGTACTGTTGAGTAATCTTTCTGTTCTCAAGAATAAGTAGTACAAACAGCTGTATGTCTTTTCATTAACTTGCTAAATAAAATATTAACACATTTTTCTCGTGCCTGCTATACTAATATTGCACTGAACTAAAAGCACGTTTCTCCTTAGCTCAGGGCCATAGCCTTGTGAATCTAGTCTGGTGGTTGAGACCACCAGCTGATTACAGATTGCAATATTAGGTGCATTTCCGCCCAGGTGTTTGGGCACTTGGTTAAAAAAAATTCTTGCCTGTCTTTTAGTTGGAGTAGGTTGAAGAAGTACCAAGTGTACCAAAGGGTGTTGCTGTCAGGGCATTAACTTGTAAGCGTACACTGTATATGCTCTTGTGTGGTAAAGTGACTTGCAGCTAGTTGTTTTCTGTAAGGAAGCTGTAGAGGGACCTCAACAGATAGTAAGATTTACAAGGACTAGAAGGCTTAATGGGATTCTTTCTGACGGCCACAAGCTTCTCAGATAGGGGTGAACCCATGCTGAAGCCTGAAAATAGCCATGAACATAAAATGATCCTACAAAGTAGTCAAAAAGGGTTCAGGATGAAATACCATTTCAAAGTCAGATATTAAGTAAAAGTAGCTATATTAGTATAAGCACTCTTCATAAAGCTGTAAGTGGGTTTTCCCAGATTGTGGCATGCAGAATGTACATTGTCCTTGCTGAGAAGTAGATATGCAGCTGGAACAGCTTCTGTCTGGAGACTTTAAGCACTAAGCAGGTGGCATAAAAGCTGCGTTTGTTTTGATGTGTGTGTCACTTGCACGCCAAGGGTTAAACCCAGTTAGTCTTAAAGCTTTCCAGACAAGCACATCACACCCTAGTGGTAGGCATTTCTGGGATGAGTTGGATGTAGCTTGCAAACAAATGAGTACATACAGTGTTACTAGAAGTGTCAGGCTCTCATAGGAGGGTGCTGTGAATGCTTGTAGATTGCCAGAAACTCCTGCAAACTGACTTAAGTAAAGGCTTGGTCCTGCTCTGCTGCCACTGACAAAGCTTGTGGAGTTGTTTATGACCCTTGGCTTTTAAATAGTAAAGGGTGACTATAGATAAATACCTGCTCAGGTGGAACAAGCAGATGTTTTCTGTTGGTTCAGACATTCATTTTCCATATCTGAAAAAAAAGAATAAGCAACAATTTAGCAAACTTATGACGTTGAGACAAGTTTCTGCACTAACTTGACCAATGCCGCGTGTGCAGTAGTTGTAGAAAAAGGTAAATGGCAAAGGCACACAGATTATGGCTTTCAAGAATGAAGCTGAGACAGCTTTTGCCAGTTGCCTTTGTTCAGATAGGTAAACTTTTGAACCTCTGCCAGAGCAAAGCTGTTTTAAAAGAGATACAAATCTGTGGCATAAATAGTTTTCTCAGAGAACTTAAAACCAGAATAATTTAGAAGCGAAGGCATAACTTGGATGGACTAATTTTGCTATGTGCTGAGCATTTACCATCTTAGCTCCATTTCAGCCTTCTCAGATGCAGACTTGGTGGCTCAGCACTGACTGTAAGGCAGTCCCAACTCCCTCTATAAGGCAGGTTTGATTGGTACTACCTGTTAGCAGCTTGTCAATTGTGTCCACAACAAATTTTGCATCCTCCTTATTGAAGCACATTGGGGGCTTGAATTTAAGCACATTTCTTCCGGGCCCATCTGTACTCAGTAGAATATATTCTTCTTTAAGTCTGGAAAGAGCAGTAACAAAGAACTATGTTTACTTTTGCATCTAGTTCAAAAAAACCATAACATAGAAGCATCAGCATGCAGGCTGTTCAGACAATGCCCTTCTGCACTGACTGGTTTCTTTTTCTGCCAGTTGGCTCTCCTTTTAACAACTATTGCGTGCAAGGTTGTTCTGTAATTGCGTGCTTGCCTTGCACATTGAGTAACTACGTTGTAGTCCTTTGGTGTACCTTGTTACTAGGTACTCTGCTTCTGCTGTGGCTGGGGTCCTTTCTGCTTGATCCTTGATTAAGTCCACACCAATGAATAAGCCAGAACCCCTTGAAAAGAAAGTAAAATAGTCAATCCCTGTCAGAGGAAGGAACTGCACGTGAACTAAAAAACTGAGAAAGGTTTTTGAGACCAAACTTTTACTGCATGAGAACTGCCTGCTGTTTGGCCAGTGACAGAAAGAAGGTAGTGCTGTTCTGAAGAAATGCAGTAACACAGTACAGACTTACGTCCTGCCCTGCCATTCTAAACAGACACATTAACCATGGTTTCCGTCTGCTCATTAATTCTGTTTGTGGTGCACTTGAAATAAGAGTTAAAAAAAAAGCTAATTCCTTTAGCAACTAATAAATCAATAAAGCAGTAATGGCCTGGAGTGGCAAAGTCTATCAGACTTTCGATAAGCTCAAGTTTGTTTTAGTTTCATCTACAGCAGGCACTTGAGTTTTGCTCAACACACAGATTTAATGAATCTCTTAAAACCACATCAGTTGGATTGTTTGACTAAACCAAACAAAAAGCAGCTAAA